ACAAAAACGAGGCACTTGAACTGGTTTTCATTATACTGGGGTACAGGGTCAACCGTCACGTTGGACCGATTTCGAAAATTTTACGACCCCCTCCCCCTTCTAGAGGGCCTCGATACGACCCCCCCTCAGGGTCAACCCTTCACCACCCTCGCCTGCCATCGCCATCATGGGGCTCATTCTATAGTATTCGATTCTGAGACCAGTCGACACAGCCCAAACTCCGCCCACTTTTCCTCCAAAATTACCGTCGAGCGGGGGTGGGAGGTGAGTGGGGGTGTATACCTACCACGAAACCGCAAACATTCTCTCCTTCCCCCCCCTATTTCACGAACATTTCCTGGGGGAGAGGACTTATACACACCGTGAAACGGCAAAATTTTAGCCAACCAACTGCATCATCACTTCCCTTACTGTAACATTAACGCTACCTCGCGAAATACGACCCCCCTTTTCCACCCCAAATACGACCCCCACCCCTCGTTGGACTTTGTCCAACGCACGGTTGACCCTGCTCGGGTAGCTTGAACGCGTTGCAGTCACGGTTGGCTGGTCTTGCGCAGTGATGTTGCCGTCGTCTCTATCCCTCGGTCCCCTATACAAACATAGTGATGATTGAAACGAGAAGCTAAATTCAGCACGCAACATAAGGGCAACCGTAGCCCATCTGACGGGAACACTTGGCATGTCAGCCACAGGCCATCACCTGACACCGATTTTACGACTATGGTCGATGTCAGACTTTGTGAATTCAGCGTAGTCACGGGATGCGAGCGATGCACCAACGGTTCGACGATGCGCCAGTGGATCGAACTGTGCATCAGCGGTTTGAATTATAAAGCAGCGGTTCGAACAATGCACCAGCGACCACTTTCTCCCCACGAGCGTATGAGGGAGCGAGAGGGCATAAGAGTGGGGGAATCCGCCACTTTCAAAGACTTTCGAGTCCCTGGCACATCATTCGAACCGCTTGTTTCGTACGGACTCTCCTTTGCTTTTCTTGCAGTTGGGATTGTTAGTTGATGTTACTTGGTACCTTTCAAAAATGTCTGAAGGCGGTAGTGAATTCAGAACATTGTTAGCCTGCACTATACTGACACCGGTTTACGGACTACTTGATTTTTCCTCAATGGTCCTGCCGCGATGGCTAGAGCACAGACGATTAGAGAACGGGTGAATGCCCTAGGACTAAGCCTTGGAGAGGAGAGGGACCCGCGAGAGAGCGCAGAGGCGGTTTAAAGGGCTGAGTTCAAGTAGTCCGTCGACCTTGATCATGACAGGAGACGGGGTCCGGGGGAGATGGACCATGGTCAGGCTTGGACCATTGCTTTCCATCCCCTGTTGCCGTGCACTAGCCTCCTGCGATACCTTAAGTTCCGGACCATGGATGGTGTGAAGACGTGGCCCGACACCGCATTTGGGAGTATTGTGGTTCTCATTGACCGGGAGTATCCTCATGCTCAAGTTGATTGGCATAACTGGGAACTTTGAAGGAATAGAACTTCATTCCATTATACAGCACCGTATTACTTACAAGTCGAAGCAGAATAGCACGTTATGCAACATTTTAATCGTTAAAACCAAAAACGACAAAGTCTCGGAATACATGATTGAAGATCTGTTTCTTCGTAATGAGTGCTTTACACAGTCCCGACAACCTTATATAACAAGAGAAATGAAGAAGATTAGTGCTCTTCACCGGTGACAACCGGTGAAGAGCATATATGTACAAATAGAGGAGTAGAATAGAAGAGTATATATGTACAAATATCTTATATCTATGTTAGACGTTTGTATGCCTTCAGTTTCCAACATCCAAATGAGGAATCTATAGAATCACCTGTCATGAGCTCCTCAACGATTTCGTGCACTTCTCTACCGACCGTTTCAGGCATGTTGAAATACAGGTAGATCAATGAAAACGTTGAAGGAATGATGAATAGAGGAATGAATGCCCAAGACTGAAATTATGGGTCGTTAGTGGTAATAGTAATGCTGTGAAGATATTGCAAATTTAGACACCCTTTCCTTCCGAGCTTGCATGTCAGCACAGTTTATAACCACATAACACTCTAAACTTCGATTTAGCACTCAACCTGCGGCCAGGTATTTTCTGAGATAAGCATTACACACATTTGAGAAACTCAAATAGATGGCTATTTGGAGAATGTGCGAAAGACATAGATCGTTTCGATTATTAAATGACGTTTCTCCATTTTCACATCTCATTTCTCCATAATTTCCATCCAGTGCATTCCAACGTGTTACGAAGCGAGCGCTACACTCGTTTTTCCCACGGCGAAATGTGTCGTAATTGCAGGCATAACAACACATGTGGCGCAGAGCGCGAAATGGTCATCCCGTGTATTTTTTGATGCTCTCGAGGCCACATGTGTTAACACGTTGACGACAGCGCAGGTTTTGGCTTTTTCCGCCGCATGGGACATGGGCGGTTTGGCGGGCGCGATTTGCCGCGTCAGCTTGTCCCACGAGGTGCGTTTTTCGGAACTCAAAACTGAAAAGTGGCAAAACAAGGGTACAACGCTAATTGGGAGGAGGGGGCTTCCGGTAGAGACGCGCACTGCTTGTCTCTACCCTCTCAGCGAAATACTAGTGATGACATCAATGCAGAATAAGGAATCCATGAGTCTCGGGGAGTATAGCCAGTTCGGGAGATGGGGAGAGAGGAGGGTCGGGCGATTTGAATGACATGCGTGGAAAGCTGGAATGTGCATGTTCACACTATCTCTTCGGATAAATGACTCCAAGAAAGTGGTCGAATCACAGCTGAACGTTGAGCATGAATACTTCCTAAGTCAGTTGCTTCCCACGTGACGTATGTCAGAAGAATAAGGTAAAGGTTCGAAAGGAATTGTAGAAGAAGTGTTTAGAACGTTATGCAACTAATTCTAAAGAGCAAGGATCGCTTTGCGGCTAACAAAACAAAAGGGTTAAAACGCGCTGCGGAAGATGTAGAAAATTCTTTGTATAGACTGCTCAAATGAAAAACACAAGTCATCTCATCCATAGAACCGTAATTCCTTGACATTATGTATCACATTGTTGTTTGCATTTATATTTTGTTTTTATGCTTGTTACCCCAAAATAGTAGTCGAAGATTGAACTAAACGGAAAATTTAGTGAGGTTCAGAAAACCTTCGCTTAACTAAAGCATATTCAACCGCTTCATGGACCACACCGTTTACAGGCATGATGATGTATTGTCTAAATAATAGTAATAAAAAATTTCGGAATAAGTCGGACATGTGCGGAAAAATGGGTACCAAGATGCTGACGCGCATGCGCGTCAGAATGTCCAATGCGGCGCAAATGTCTGACGCGCTTGCGCGTCAGCCTGTCGTCAACGTGTTAAAGCAACAATCCAGGAACGAATTTGCGGGCAAAAGCACCTATATGGAAGTTGTAGGTGAAAAGTGGTCGAACGTAAAAAGAAAAAGTGAAGAAAACGCCCAACTGGGGCTTAGACAGGGACATGCCCTGCCGTTTATGGGGGAGACGTGTGTTGGACGAGTTGTCCAAATCTGCTCGCAGTAATGCGCTTCAATTGCGATTGCTTGCAAATACTTGGCTGATTGCTAGCAACTGTAATTGAAGCGCACGCTGAAATGAAACCTTGAATCGAAGGGGACACATTGAAAATCAAATACATTCGGCATCGAATTTTCAAAGGATAGACCTCAAATGGTCGCGGCGGTCCCGCAACGACCGCTAGTCAAGCATGGACTCTGCACAGCGTATGTTGAACGATCCGCCTCGGTATGAGTGATCCGCCCCCTCCAAGAGGACTTCGACCCCTTCCAGCGCATTTTAGAGGTAGGTTTTGAACTTAAAGACATTTCCTATAAACTTTAGTTGGGCTGGGGCATGTTTTGACCGCCTAATGACCAAGTAGTTGAAACCCTGCCTGGACTGTTGCTTTAAACATTCCTAGAAGAAAAAATTCGCCAAAGTTGAAG